ACATAAGGTCCTAACGACCGTACGTATTTGAAGCTGTCTCTTATACACATCTAGATGTGTATAAGAGACAGCACACACACAACACACACACACTGCACAATGGCAACCTTTCCCATCATAGTCAATAGGTCTAGACTTAGTGTAGAGAAGCTGGTTGCATCAGGAACTACGTGACACACACACACACACACACACACACACACACACACACACACACACACACACACACACACACACACACAAACACGTGCATTTCTTTTCTGTACCTGACTTCTGCAGACAATAGCAATATATCGGTTACAATAGCACCACTTGTGAGACAATAGCACTATCTGACTTGTCTAGAGAACATCACTCTCTGCCGTCGAGTGTAAGCATGCTACCTAGGGCTTAGACTTGTGCGGACAATAGTACTGAATAACTCGTGAGGCAAAGCAGAACTATCTCACTTGTGCAGACAATAGCACAATCTGCAATTGACTATAAGCATTAGCACGCTACCTAAGCTGAACTGTAGACGAATTATGAGCACATGACACAGGATTTCAGAAATGCATCACGACAGATATGTACACGCGATATTCAGAACAAAGTACTCTAGTATCCCAAAGGACTAGAAGCAGCAGATCTGCTGCCCATCACTCAATCAACCTATGTTGCAAGCCAAAGGGGAGGAGGATATCACAACTTGCCAGAAGTATGCCATAGTAATGAAGCAATGGGGGACAGCTCCCTTCCTTAGGAGGGGAGGAAAAAAGGGAGCAGCAACACTCCCCCTTCCCCTTTGCCCCCAATTCTGCCCCCCTTTCGCTTCCCGTCCCCCATCCGCAAATCTCGCCCCCGCTTCCACCTTCTGGAACCGCCTCTCTCAAGCGCCGGGACATCACAACTGATCCACATCCACATGACATACTGTACAAAGTCCAAAGGTTCAAATTTCAAACCAGAAACCGGGAACAGAGGGCATTTCTGCAATTTAGCAGCAGAAATACCATGCACTTTCTCACCCCACCCATCCCCCCGCTCACCTCCCTCTTCCTCCCCCGTGGAACACACGCACACACGCTTCCTTCCCTGCTGTGCCTAAGAAGGACGATATCCCCCCCGCACCTCCCTCTTCGCCCGGCCCCCGCCCCCCCCCCACAAC